AACATACCATTGAAATATAAATAGATTTATATTTCAAAGGAAGAGTTATTTTTAGAATCGTTCCCTTTTTCAATTCCATATAAGGAAGCAGAAATGATTTTCCTTAATGCGTAAGGTTACAAGGAATGTACGAATGTGCCTTTTTACATCAAATCTATGTTAGTATAAAACGTAAGAACGCATTGTTTTGCGTGTCCTTTCATCATAATGTGATCCTGATAAGCTGTTCAGGAATTGCCAGAAGTCTTTTCCATTCCCCTCCCGTAGGGAGTGTGGACGTCAACTGTAATCAATACCAGCCTATATTTAAATAAACCTGTTTAGAACGTCTGATGGCTTATGACTGCAATTATTTCAAGCTAAATACAACACTAATAACAGGGTTGGAGCCCTGTTATTACATATATATATATATATATATATATATGTGTGTGTGTGTGTATCTATGTATGTACTTTATACAAATCCTCAATCTGAACGGAACCGCACTAAATTTGGTGTACAGACATTCGAAGACGCTGCAGCCCAAACTGTTTACTTTAAAACTCCCTTTCACAAGCAGTTCACACGCTGCTACCCAAAGAAGGAGTTTTCCATAGGATTTAAAAAAGATTTCATAATATGAACGATTTGCTAGCTTGCCGCTTTTAATAAATCAAAAATTAAATTTATTGCACATTTTTATGGATTATTTATCTTTGTTCTAAAAACATATCGCTTAATCTAATAATGTAAAGCTACCGGGAAGGGCAATAAATAATAATGAATAAAAAAAATATGTAGCTTAATTAATTGTGTCGGTATACGTCTATAGTTTTACAGGATATCGAAAGGTTGATCAATACCGATTTATTAGTTATTATTTGATTACCGCAGGAGTTCAAATTTTTGGTTGTTTGAACTAGCCAAATTCGTGTATGGGAATTTCATATCTGAAATTAGTTTTTGTCCTAAAGCTACAGACTTTTTGTTTACATGACATTTTTAGTCTACTTTGGTTGAAATGTTTAAGTTTAAAAACGTTACATATACAAGAGAGTCTCATAAATGTTGCGAAAAACTTCTAGAGGAGTGTGAAAAGTTCTTTTTTTTCTAGCGTCTCGTTTTGGTAGACTCAATGATGACGAGGACTTATATCATACATATGTTTATTTCAGGTTCTGATTTATTATGTTAAAAAAATATAAACAATTAAATATATTTCTGAAGAAAAAGCTTATCTTTCTACTCATGGAGCCACATTGTTCTCTTCTCACTTCGTCTATATTTTAAGAGCATCCGTTCCTAATAATTTTTTCTACGAAAGAGTGCCCTTTTCTATAAATCTTTTCCTCTCCCACCAAGGGCGCCGGCAGGGGGGTGCAAGGAGGTGCGCTTGCACCCCACTGTCTTTTTTTTTTAAACAATTCAGAAGATACAGAAAAAAAAATTTATAAATTTTTTTATTAAAAATATTTTTATTCAAAAACAAATAATTAAGTAATTATTGATACATAATAATTAAAAAATTGTTTAATCAAACAAGAATTGTAATGAGCCTTGTTTCTTCTCCAAATCTGTTTATAACTTTTTCAATGAATTCTGAGTCATCTTTGATTCTTTTCTTATGCATATTGAGCATGCACAAACTACTTAATTTCTCGTGAGACATTGTAGACCAATTCCATGTTTTGATGCGTCGCATTGTATTTAAAGTGCGTTCAATAATGCACGTAGTAGCTGGAAGAGTTCGGCCAATTTTAATTGCCTCCGCTACAGCTGGATAAAACGGTGTGGCCTCAATTACTAAATCGATGTATTCGAGGGATTCATAAGAATTTTTTCTATTCCACCACATTCCGTACCACGTTGTAGCTTCAGTGATGAATTTCGGTAAGAGCAGATCTTTATACATAGTATATATATATATCTTCTAAAACTCAATAAATATCAACACAACAAATACCAATGTTAAGCGTGCACAAACACGTTAGTATACGAAACTACTGCTTGTAATTATTTGTGTTTCAAAGTCAGTAGATATGCCAGCGTTATCAATAAAGTTTCTCGTGGCAAAATTTGCAAGTACAAGAAATTCGTACTTTTTTTTAAATATCTTGTTAACAATGAAGAAATGTATCTTGAAAGAAATTAACAGATGAAAGTATATGTAATAACAAAACAAAATGTAATAACAGAATATTTGTAATTTTCTTTTTTTTTTGGGGGGGGGGTTAGTTTGTTAGAGGGTTGCACCCCCTTTTATATTATTCTGCCGGCGCCCTTGTCTCCCACTATAGAGAAACGACTCTTCCCGTTTCCCTCACTTAGTCACATTCAGGTCAGGGGTCATTCACATGCGTGGGAGAGAAATCAGAGTCCTGGCAGGGAGTTAGGGGCATTATCAGGAATTAAAATGGCACTGGCAGCCAATGCCTGGAAATGTTATAAAAGGTTTGTGACGCTTCCCAATTACGAACTGTTTCTTCGTGTTCTTCTGAGCTGTAATATACTTCGACAACAAGAAAGCTCCCCTAGCTCTACATAATGACATTTCCAGTCATGGGCTCCTATGTAATTTTAAAACGTGATGATGTACCCAAACTCTCCTACAAGTTAGTCGCAACATTTATGCTGCTCCTTTTTATCTATGTAACGTTTTTAAACTAAAGCATTTCGAAAAATAAACCAAAAATGTCATTTAAAACAATTTGTAGCTAGGAAATTTGTAAACAGCTACTTAAAATATTAATGATCTGTTAAAAAAAACTTCTGAAGAAAAAAAAGTCCTCAGCGTCGTTTGCTTTTTTCTTTATTCCTTAAGAAGAGAAGGTATCCAGATAGTTTTTAATAAATTAAACAAGAATTAGATAAATTGACAATGTGGAATACTTACTTGTGCTGTGTTTGCAGCCCGATAACCAAAACGCAGTAATGCATAGTTTGTCTAAAGTAAGGACTTCCCTAGACATTCGTCTAGACCTGCGGCGATGACTATGGTAACGAGGTATAACTATTTAGAGTAGGGGAGTGGGGTCATAGTTTTGGGACAGGTTTTGTCTCGGTCGGCGAGAGAAAGGGAATATTTTTCTTCGCTGCAGCTATCCTCCCTGAAATGCGCTATTCTTGTTTCCATAGCAGCAGATGGCCTCAGACTTTGTGGCGAGGGGAGTTCTTACCGTAGACAAACTATATTACTGTTGCTGTTACTCTCTTACTACTCTAAGCCTTATTACTATAGAATGCTACTAAATCTCATTCACGCCTCTTTTTAACATCTCGATATTTTATTCGTCTCATTAAAAAATAATCACGACTTATTTAAAATTAAATCAGCTCGTATACTTCTTTTTAAAATGCTTCTTCGTTTTATTTTTTAAAATTGTTCTATTGATAGGTTTTCGGCTAGACACGTGGAAAAATGTCGGGCCTATGTTGCCATTATTCCCGTTACTTGCACAAATTCTCGCACTTCAGTAACTTTAATATTGTTAATAAACTTAAATCTTTAAACGAAAACCTTTTAACCCATTGCACTATTTTTACAAATCTGACTCGTGATGAAAATTTTAGGCCATACTTGAATATCACGAGTCAGGCTCGTTGTTTAATTTCACGCCAAACGTGAATATCACGAGTCTGACTCGTAATTGACATTTCGGACCAAACATGAATATCACGAGCCGAAATCGTGGTCTTAATCTCGGGCTAAACAAGAACGTCTGAATGGGCTCTTATCTCTTCGTTATATGAATAGGTATTTTCTATCTTGTCTCCTAATCTTTTATCCTTTGTCTGTCTCTCTTGGGCTCTTTTCGCGAACATTCGGGTGCTGAAGTTAGGCACGCCTTGTTCCCAAATTTCAGCGTAGAGCAAAAGGGTTAAATAATGTTTCGTCTATCACTAAGTTAACATGTCTATCACTAGATAATGTAACAGACACATGACCAACGTCATAATTCTATTTGGTTTAAACTGGAAGCCTTATAAGCTAAATTTGAATAAAGAAAGCTTCTAAAAACGCTTCAGCTTCATCATCCAAACATAAAACATTCGAAACAGCTCCTGATATTTGTTTTAAAAGTTTTTAGAGAATAAAACCCTTGCATAAATTTTAATGTTCAGTGATTCTTGTGTACACTTTCTAAATTTTTCGTAACGCTGTGTACCACTAATACAAAAATGAATGCATTTTTTTAACAATATGTTTATTGTTAATAAGTTTATTTGCATCAGTGAGAAGGATGATATTGTTTTTGCTGTGAAAACAGCTGCCGTGATAAAAAAAAATTTCACAAAAGTTAAAAATCACAACTGGCTGTTGAGACCACTAATTATTAACGGTTAACTCTGCAAAAAATATAGCCAATAGAAAAATACGTAATCGCAAATTTTCGTTTGTTGCAAGATATTTCGCATAAGAACTCGTACCCTCGCTGAACTGTTCCCGTACCCGGGGGTACGCGTACCACACTTTGGGAAACACTGGTGTAGTTTAATGTAATGTGGGTAGTAAACAGGCGTGACATCATTTTATGGATTGCAGTATTTTTGCAAAAAATAATATTTTTATTAATTAAGAACCTTTTTAGAATGTAATTTAGAATATTTAACATAAGCATAAATAAGAGAAGAATTTTCCGTTTCTAGAAATTTTTGAGAAAAACTTATTTGTGGATTTTAAATTGCTAATCGCTACATTTTCAGTTCTCTTTCAACTAATTTCTTAAATGTACTATTTTTATCTTAAGTAATGCTTTTTAATTTCATATTTTTGTATTTAAAAATGTATATTAATGTTCATCTTATAAACATCTTCAAGAAAAATATTTTTCAAACGGATATCAGTTGTCACCGTGTTATGAAAATGATCCATATTTCTAGAAAAATTCTTACTTTTGCAGAATAACGTTATTTTTATTCGCCATTTTCTCTTTCAACTTTTGTTCCTTCTTTATCAAGTCATTTAAACTCTTGAGTTCTGTGACTAGTCTTTCTTTTTTATCCAACATACGGAAGCATTTCCTTTTCATTTTTGCAATAGCTGGCACACTAGAATTGCAGTTTTGTTTCATGTCAAAAATTTCCTGCTCTAGGATTTGTCTGTCCAGATTATAGTTCATTTTGTCTACTTCAAGCTTGCTTCTCATTTTCTGAAAAGAAAAGTGAACAAAAATCCAATTTAATTTACAGTAATCCTAGATCTAAAATTAATAAAACGTTAAAAATAAGTTTGACAGATATAAATCATACCGAATTTTTACAAAATTTATCTCCATAAGCAGGTTTTGCAGAGCATATTCGTTAAAGAAATGAAAGCCGCACTTCATGATACAAGATAGGATGACAACGCATGTTATTCTGAATACATCAGATAGCAAAAATTATCCCTATTATAACTAGGGTTAGCACCGAGTGGCTTGTGTAGGGGTCAGGGTACTGGCCTTACATCCGAAAGTTTTAGAATTCGAAACCCGGGCAAGGCATGGATGTTCTTACATTCTCTGTACTATCTGTCCTTACTGTGGGAGCAACCCCACCTAATATGGTGTCCCTGAAAGAGTAGCTAACAAATTTGCCGTTGACAAAGGTCGTTCTCCAGGTGGCCATTGGAAGAAAAAGAATAATAACTAGGGTTAGCAGAGCATCATTGTCGGGTAAGAAAGTTAGCAATAATGACAGGATAATGTAGTAAATATTCTTTCCACAATTGCAGATTTTATTTTATTTCATAATCGGTGTTGAACAGTAGACCCAAATCTGGTACCCAAGCTAGAAGATAATGAGATACCTGAGCATTGGGAGAAACTAGCCTTCATGGATGACTTTTTGATGGAACTAACTAGCATTTACGTTACATGCAGTGGAAAACCACGAAACCTCCTACATTTAACTCGTTAGCACGGGGACTCTTACCCATGATCCGACAACTCTGGGGTTATTTTAAGTTACACTGTGGACTGTATGAGCCGGGTGCAAAATTCGTATCGAATAGCCATCGTTGATCTCGATCAGCCATCGTTTTTAATGGATTTAGGCTTAAAATTTGGATCGAGAAAAAGAAAATAAATTAAACTTACACAAATTTTAGACAAAAATTCAATTCTTAAATTAGTAGTATCTTTCTGCTCTATCAGAAATACATCTTCAAGCTGTTCCAATGCAAGCATTTCAGTGGGCGTTTTCCATAAATATGTGTCAAAAGGCTATGAATAAAATGAACAAACAGTAAGCTTTTTGTCTATTTTCAATTTAAATGCAATATTTTAATATTAACGATAAGCTCATGAACATCAAATGTATAGTGAAGAAAAAAATTATACCTTTTCTTCGAAAAAAATCAATAACAAAGAATATTTTCATAGTATGCTTTATCTTGTTATTATAAATGATTCCATAAAATTCTCCTACCCTTCTCAGTACTCCCTCTCCCCCCTTTTTTTATGGTATTATTTGAGGGAAAGAATTGACGTATCTTTCAAAACTCTACTTTACATTTACTTTAAATGCTGTTGTGTGAGCTGATTAATCAGTTACACATAGCATATCAGGCACACTCTGTTGGCGCTGCTATCGTTACTGGCTTTCACTGAAACCCACTTCTCGTTTTGGCAGCCATATGTAATAAATAAACTAGACTTTATTATTTTTTAACTAATTAATTAATATAGAATTGGATTTTGACTTTTTATATTTCTTTAATGAAATTTTTTACATTTTACCAGCAATAAGTACTTTTAAAAGGAAACCTTGATATATAAAGACCTACATGATAAAAACAATAAAGTTATTGCTCGTAAATTTATAGGAGAAAATTAGTTGTGTGTGGCGAAAAGTGTAAAGACCAACACCTCCTAAATAGATAAGGCCTCCGCACTGATCACTTAAGTAGTCCGAAGGAACGAACATAAACTGCGCAGAGGGGAAAAATACGAAAGATGTTATAACGTTCGGACTACGGATTTCTCGTTTATGTTAAACTGAATGAAGGTCTTTTGTCTTATGGTAAAATTAACCATTCTGAAGGAAAAAGATATTGCGGATAACTTTCGAAATACATTTTATTGTTCCATTGGACAGCATTGTATGTTATAATATACATACTATTTATCTATAAAAAATATATAATTATTTAAGATTAACATTTAATGCAGTATGTGTATCAATTTTATATTATTTTTAATTATTTTCAATTAAGCAAAAAAAAAGAACTATTCGTTTAACATTATGCATAAATTTAAGCTATGAAGAAATGAAATATTAAATCAATAAAGTATTAAATTAAAGAATATTAAATCAATACAATATTAAGTCAATACAATATTAAATAATTAAATATTAAATCAATATAATATTAAGTAATGAAATATTAAATCAATACAATAAAGTAATTAAATATTAAATAAATATAAACCTTATCAGCTGATGTTTCATCCAACGAGGAACCATTTTTATTCCACAACTCATCTGATATCCGTTTCGAATGGTTTATTATTGAATTCTTCAATAAAAAATAAAACAAAAATTACTTAAATATAAATACTAATAATAAAAGTTAATCAGGAACCGTACTATGAGCTCTCTGGAATGATTATTCCAGATGGAGTGACGTCACATTCAATCGGAAAAGGAATTTTTTTACCACGAGCTACACAAATCCGAGCCACCTGCCTCCCAGAATTTCTCTTTCCAGATGGAATCATCAATATTTATTTACAAATGTGTCGTTAGTGACAAACTTTTAATCACTAGTTTTTGGATATTCCATTCGGAATGCTATTTTTTATTCAACACGTTTTCAATATCAACCTCATCAAATTAAATATTATTTTATCTTTAATAATTTTTCTGCCTGTAAAAAATATTTATTCACAGTTTTTGTTCGTTATAACAATTTTGTTAAAAAGAATAAGTTTATTAAAATATGAATCTCAAATTAATTATAAATTGAAAGCAATGTATATCGATTAATGAATATTTACTTATTTATGCAATCTTCTTTGTATATTTTTTTTCACCTTTTCTTTCCCTCTTTTTTCCCCCTTTTTGGTTATTAAATCACTATTTTTTTAATTCACCGATTTTAATTTTTTTGGTTTGAATTAATTAAGGAGTGGTGACTTGCAAATATTCAAAATTCCTTTCTTTTTCATTATGCTTTTAAAAGGCGATGAAAATTTAAGATCCAACAAGTTCGACAATGACAGTTATAATTACTAACATCGATCAATTATTATTATTTTTTAAATATTGTTATTATTTATATCAATCAAATTCTTATTGTGTCTGCTTCCCCCTAAAGTTTTATATTCGGAACTAATTAATCAATTGAATATTTTCAAGCATTTATAAAAATCAATTATCCAAAGAAAATTTAATGCAGCAAAAAACAATTTTTTATAATTTTTTGGTTTAATTTAACAGTGATTGAAAACATTTTGAAGAGTAAAACGCAAGATATTTTCAGATATTTTCGAACTACTTAATTTATATAACAAAATTTAATATTCGAGCAAAATTGGTTGAATAGATTTATAGATATAAAAATGAAAATCTAATAAAGAGTTTTTATTTTTCAAACAAGATAAATTTTTTTAAATCGATTTTTATAAAATTTTAGACTTCGCATTTTAAAGTTGCATAATTTAAAATGATTTAAAATTTTTTTATGTCTTTCAACCCTAACTTTTTGCATAAAATTATTTCTGAGGTTAAGTTGTTGTTGCATAAGTTACATATATGTGTGCATTGATAGGTGTAATAAGTATCAGAGCAACTTGGCAGAACATACAAATTAATAATAATTATAATAATAACATTAAAAGCCACTTTTTAACGGTTCTCCCATCTAAATTCGAATTCCTATAACCAATTTTATAACGAAATAAAATTATATGTAATATTTCTACGAAAAATAATTAATTTATTTAAAACATATTTAAAAAGTTTAATTAATTTAAAAATTATCGAGAGAAAAAGATTTAACTTACCCTTGTTGCACTAACTTCATCTCTTCCTGTTTTATTAAGCTCTAAAATTAAATTTTCAGTTTTATTTCTTATTTCTTCATGTTGATTGCAATAATTTTCAATTCTTATTCTGTAATCCATATCTTGCGTATCTACATCCTGCAAAAATAAATCGTTTTATAATTACGTTTTGAAATTTTACAATTCACTTCAATTTTTTTTTAATTAAATAACTTGGGACAAAGAATAGCCTCTACTGGTTTAGTTATTAATTTAAATGAAGATTTCTCCCATAATTTAAGATTAAAAGATTATCAAGCATTAACACTTTCGCGAAGTGAGTTGCAAACGTGCAAAATCTGCTGAGGCATCGAGTCTCTTTCGCGAGACCAAAATATGAACACTCTCCTCATATTCATATAATAATAATAATAATAAAACGTGTTTGTAAGTCATATGTTTCTCATTATGAGTAGACGGTCAAATCTACATTTATCTCAAATCCTATGGAGACGCTATGGAATCTCGTGCCAAAAATTATAGTTTTTAAAACGTTTCAGAACACTATCACGGATACGTGACTGACAGGATTGTACAAGAAAATGCTATGGCGCACCAGTGTGTCGTCGTGACTGTCGGCGTACATGACAGACGACGCGAAAGGGTTAAAAAAAAAGTTTTAAGAAATAAACAGTTTGAAAATAAAAGATACTAATGCTCGTTACTTCTATAATCATAGATGTAGTTTTCAGAAGAAAAGAAAAAATATACTAATGGGATTATGCAAGAGAGCTATTTTTGTAGAGCGCCATCTAGTGGCACCAAGAACGATTTACATTCAGTCGACGTCTGTCTTCCCAAGTCTGTGGTTCTCTATACAATAAGTTTCACTTAAACGAAAGTTAGTTAAAATGTTATTTTTCGTGTTTCGTTTCATTTATGGCTACAAGAACGATTTACCACCACCTGTCGACTTTCAGTTTTCAAAGTGTGAGGTTCCTCAATCAATATGCTTCACTAAAACGAACGTTAGTTAAAATGTTCTGTGTTATTTTTCTAGTTTCGTTTTATATAGGGGCTTAAGAACGATTTACCTCCATTCGAATTTAATCTTCAGAAGTGCGATTTTCCTCAATCAATATGTTTCAGTGAAACGAATGTTAGTGAAAATGTTCTGTGTTATTTTTCGTGTTTCGTTTTATCTAAGTGCTACAAGAACGATTTACCTCTCGACTTTTAACTTTAGAAGTACGAGGATCTGCCGACAATATATTTCATTAAAACAAACATTATAGTTCGTTCACCAGGAGTTGAGACTTGGCTCCACCTCCGCGGACGCAGAGTTCATTTCAGCGCGGGAGTTAAAAGAGAAACATCTCAGTTGTTGAAATTGAGACAACCCTTAATTTGAGCCAAACACAAAAAGTGAATTCTTTTTCAGTCACTTACTTTGCTTTATCATCTGCTATTATACCTTTTGTTACACTAGCTAATTAAATATACTTTAAATTTAAAAACTGCTGTTCTCCCAGCGAAATGTCTCATAAAGGACAAACTATTCACTCAAAAGAAAGAAATATCATAAAAAATGGCGCAAGATATCATCAAATTTATGAAATTATTTATTGTTAAAAAAATGCACATAAAGTTTGCGAAATAAATATTTTTGCCAAACGATCGCCAAATAGCAAGATTGATCAGGATTGCTCACAACCTTCTCCCAAAAATAGCGAAATAGTATCGTCGCATACCACGTGATGAAGGCGGAGCCAAGTGCCAACTCCTGGTGAACGAGCTATAGTTAAAATGTTATAGGTTATTTTTCTCGTTTCGTGTCAGCAAGGGGATAGAGGGACAATTTACCACCAGTCGTCTTCCAGTTTCAGAAGTGTGAGATTCTCCATCCAGTAGTGTGATTCCATCTCCATATAAAATATTTCAGTGAAATGAACGTTACTTAAAATGTTCTGTGTTATTTTTCGAGTTTCGTTTTATATAGGGGCTTAAGAACGATTTACCTCCATTCGACTTCCAGCTTCAGAGGTGTGAATTTCCCCAAACTATATGTTCCTGTTAAACGAACCTCAATTTTAAATATTATGTGTCTTTTTCATATAGATTCTGTATTTTCCTTCTCTTTTTTTTGTACCTGTTAAGTACTTTTTAATTTTAAGGGCATTAGTGAATGGTTTCCGTGCTAGTCGTGTTTGTTGTTATAGAAAGAATGATTATAACGCTAATATAAAAAGAATGATGCAAGTTTTGAGCTTCTAAAAGAAAATTGTGGAGTTCAAATGTAACTTACATGGTTGAGTTCGGCAATAATATCATCATATTGCTTGAAGACAATTTCTGCTTCAGTTTTCCAGTCTTGCATCAGCTAAAAACAGAAAAGTTAATTTATTTTCAGCATTTCACTCGTAAGGAAAAAAAAGGTATAAGAGAAAAATTTTGTCAAAAAAAAAAAAAAAAAAAATCCTTCGTTCTGTCAGAATTTTATCTGATTCCTTTTCGTTACTAGGCAACAGCGAAGAATTCGACAGGGTTTTAGCTTCTCACAGTCGTTACCAGAAAGACTGAAGCGAAGTTTCTCTTAAACATAGTCAGTTTTCTCTCATCAGTTAATACTATAAGCCACAGTCAACTTTTATTTTGAGCTCTAAAAGGCTTGACCCCTGCTCGCTTCGCTCCCCGATACACACAATTGCAATAATCTGAAATCATCGTTAATCTATTTTACATATTTTATTTTATTATTGCCCATGACGCAAAAACGTTTCTCTCAATATTTTTTTAATCAGATAAAAAGTATAAATGCGTAGTTATTTGCCTTACTTGTGTATTTTTGATATTTGCTTCGTTTATCTTACTTTTTTATGTAAGCAATTTCAGCATTTCGCATTAAAGCCGGCCTATTTTATATATATATATTTCAAATATATTGGTAATTACCGATATATTTCGATCAGTTGACATTCAGGATGGCCCAGGGAAACTAGAAATTTTAGAGTTACGTAATTTACTCAAATAGAAACAGGAAAAACATACTTTTTATTAACAAATGAACAGTATACCGAAAGAAAAAAAAAGAAGCCGAACCACCTTGAATAAGTTTTGGTTTTTAATGATCAATGATTCACCTTCTAGGACTCAATCTTAATGGCTCGAGGGTTGACCTAAAATATTGCAATTAATAAGTGCAGACGATATTTTAAGCAACTAAATCAGACACAACAACGTACTTTCTCTGAATAAACATACCTTTTTATCGACGGATTCGGATTTCTGACCCCCTAAATATACGGAGTAGCTGCAATCTGGGTAATATGATCCCAACAGTTTGGTCAAGAGAGCTCTCCAAAGTTTGGATCCCTTAATGCTAATTTTACTTTTTGCGTATTTCACTACATCTCACGAACTTTTTACGCGAATTGAACAATTTTTTTTCAAACAATTATAAAATTCTTTTTTCCAAAGATAAATTAAATTATTAAAGCCAGAGATAATTTAAGTTATTAAATTACAATGGCTGGTTGATTCGAACTACGTATCCTGCTTGCACCGACCACAGTGCTGACGTTAAATATCCTCAGTAGTAGGCGGATCACGGGTTAGAGTCGCCTTACCATGAGGCTATCCGTGGGAGGTTTCCGTGGTTTGTCTCTCCATGCAACGCAAATACGGGTTAGTTCCATCATAAAGTCCTCCACGAAAGGCAAATTTCTCTCAATACTTGATACAGGAGTTTTCTTATTTTCTGGATTGGGTTCAAACTTACAAGGCTACACAGGGGTCTGTTTAGAAGAAATTTGGGTCCGTTAACGGACCCTTCACAAAATTATTTTTCTTTTAATCGGACCCTTCACAAATTTTTTTATCTTCATTATTATTTTGTTAATCGAATAAACCCTTTCCAGGGCAGAAAACAAGAAAGATGGATGTAAAAGAATTAAGTTTTGTGTTCGGCAGACGATTCTTCCATTATTCGTCCGAAATTAATATTCTGCGTTCAGCAGTATAGGCTAAATACCAAATATTTGTATGTTGCATCTCTTATTTAGAAACAGAAATTGTTGTTTATTTTTGAAAATTCAGTTTTTTTAATTATAATTTTACAATGTTGAGCATAATCTTGTATGTGTTTATAATTTAAAAACTCCTTGAAAAGGTTTTTTTTGCAATAACGGACCCTATTTGCACAAATTCATGAAAACGGACCCTGGTTGAAAGAATGTGAGTAATTTTTTCACAATTTCACGAAAAACGGACCTTTCACAAAATGTCTGGACAGACCCCTGCTACATATTTGAGCATTAGTATTCATAAATCCAAAATTGGGTCAGCGGTTCAACGACGGTTATAAAAAAGTAGGCCATTGTGCAAGTGTGAAGTAAATATACGACTACAATTATTTTTGTGAGATTGTATTCTTCTGATCGATACCTTATTCGGTTTTATTTTATGAGTTGTATCAATTGTATCTATATCAATTATAAATTTCGAGATTGTGGAGAATTTGCTAGACATTATTTTATAGGATAGCTCCAAAAATTTTGCTTAGTTTTTTCCATTCAAAAATTAGTAGACTGTTTTGGATGTGCGTACTATGTCCAATTTTCGCTGTCTTAAAGGATTACTGGATGGATTAATGCTTTACGCATGCTGATTTTTGTTCTATTGCTAATCAGTCGTAATCTTAATTGGTTTCATAAAACTGGGGTAGCATCTGTTTGCCATCATCAATCGGTTATCAATTCCAACATTAATTTTATTTTTTTTTAGTAACAATTGTTCCTAGGTGTTTAAATTCGCTGACTTTTTCAACTGTGCCGACCATTCACCCCCAGTGGTGCACTATTTTTTTTGTATTATTTTCAATAATATATAGCGGGTAAAATAAAAAGAGAGATGATATTGACATAATAAGGCGGGTGTAACGAAAGATGTAATACTGGACAATACTTTACTTTTTATCCGGCGTTGAACAGCCGACTTAGTTCTGAGTTTACCACTCTCAGTGTACTACTCCTTAAACTTGTAATTTTCAACCAAATCAAGAAGTTAGGGGAACTCCTGGATCCATTATTGGGAGAAATTCGCATTCGTGGAGGACTTCTTAAGTCAGCTAAATAATCCGCATTTGCGTTACATGGAGAATAAAACCACGGAAGCCTCTCAAGGTTAGCCTGACAGCAAGAGGACTCAAACTCATGATCCGTCAACCATTGAAGATATTTTACGTCAGCACTGCGGTCGGTGCAAGCCGGATGCGGAATTCGCATCCACCAGCCATTGCTGGGATTCGAACCCGGTTCACCTCATTAGAAGGCGAACACTCTATCCCCCAAGCCATTACGCTCATACGGGACAATATTTTATAATTTTATAACCGACGTTGAACAGTCTATACAATTTTTGTGTTTACGACTACTAATGTTCAACTACGTATCCTTGTAATTTTGAAACCAATCCAGAAGACAAGGGAACTCCTGGATGAAGTATTGGGAGAAATTTGCCTTAGTGGAGGACTTTTTGATGGGACTAACCCGCATTTGCGTTACATGGAGAGAAAGACCACGAGAACCTCCCACTGCTAGCCTGACGCCAAGGGGACTCTAACCCATGATCCGTCTACCACTGAGAATATTTCACATCAGCACTGTGGTCGGTGAAAGCCGGAGGGGGAATTCCTATCGACTGGGATTCGAACCCGATTCACTTCATTGGAAGGCGAACACCCTATCTCCTGATCCATCGCGGTTCATCCAGGGCAATTATAAATAAAGATAATATATTCTACCCATATTTTTCCTGCGATATACACGAAATAGAGATAAAATGATATTTTAACTATTTATAGCAAGCTCCAACAATAGCTTCTGACCTTCTATTTATAATTGTTTCCGACATTAGTTTAGATCTTAACTGTAAGGAAGAAGAAAGAACACTTAAAAAGGAAAGAAAATCAAATGTAGCAGGATTTCCGGGATGATTATTAGTGCATTTGTCTTAATGAGCTCGAGGTGTTGATGCATATTTTATCATTTACTCTTCAGTTGAAATTCGAAAGACTGAATAAAAATGATTTGAAAATAAATTCGAATAATGAAAATACTGAACGATAATTGAAGTTAAAGAAAAAGATATTACAAAACTCTGGATGTTTTTATATGAAATGCGGGGGCGGGGGGGGGGGCGCGTATATTTTAATATAGAATGTTTAATACAGTTAAATGGATCTACAAGAACTATGCTTATTGCTAATTAATGAATTGCTCATGGGCTGCAATAGCGGCACACCTCAAACATCATGTTTTGAGATAAGTTGGTTTTCATTGCTAAGGAAAATGCTTAAGAAATGTTTTAGTCTGCTTAAACGAAGGTTACCTTCAAGTTGTAATATGATTTTTAAAAATGGAATGTAAAGTTTAAATAGGCCTATCATGTTATATCATTAAATTTAGTAAAACTATTTCTCAGGCATTATCAAATATTCTTCCGATGCGTTATAGATGTTCCTCCTCCTCCAAAAAAAAAAAAAAAAANAAAAAAAAAAAAAAAAAAAAAAAAAAAAAAAAAAAAAAAAAAAAAAAAAGGAGATACCGTTTTATTTTCGTTTGCATAAGAAAGAATATCAAACATTTTACTGGAGTACAGAGTAACTGAATGACTGTTCAAATAGAAATCGCAGGTATTCGCCTCATACAACAGCGCCATCTGTAGTTCGTTGCGATCGCGAATCCTGATCTATTTTTAGTTTACGCTTCGCTCATTCTTAAGGTAAATACGGTTCATAAATAAATATAATTCAATATAAGAAATCTAGCTTGTGCGAACCATTATAAATTAAATTCGACTTCTTTAGGAAATGTTTTTATGGTGTCTCAATGTAAGTATCAATCATTTCCAGATAGCCGAAAAGCAGAATTTATTCCAGTATTATAGCCAAAAGGCGGATGCAACTTATCTCCAAAAAAGAAAATAATTTAATAAAATGAGCTACGGTTTAAATAAACTTCTGTTTTTTTTTTTAAACGAAAAAATATATATATATTGGTGTATCACTTTGATAATTAACACCTATCACCATCGTAAATAATGCGCTCTAATGCATTTTATTATTAATTTTTCCTTCAAGCATTAAGTTTTCTAAAAGTAGGGGGAAAAATACCCGAAAAAAATTTATCAAATTATCTTGAGAAATTCTTTGTTATTTTTATTGTTTTTTTCATTAAAGGAAACCTTTTTTTTTCTTTCTAAGAATACCATGACTATAATTTAGTATAATTTCGACTATCGATTGGTTAAAAAATCCATTGGTTTCATTTCAAATAATGAAAAAATTATTTTTAGTCTAGAAAAATTTGAAGGAAAAAAAAAATGTGTTGTACTTACGTTACTTAGGTATTGAGGAAGTCTGTTTTGTTCCATGGCATCAGAAATAATCTGAAATAAATCATTATAAATTTAAGTTATTTTTGTTAATAAAGATAAAATTTATTTTCCAGAAACAGTTATTTTATGGGTTTGTGAAAGAAAAATAAGATTCCTTTTATCTCTCGTCACTATTTCATTTCGTTAAGAAATGCTCCAAAAATTATATTACTTATGACGTTAGGTATAAATAAAGTTCGAAATCATTAATAAATACAAAGTCACAAACATTGTCCCAAAGAACAAATGTACTAAAATTCAGTTTCTTCTGTCAAGAAACAACCTAAAGGTCGACCCACAGAAGGGAAACCCAAAGATGCAGAAGAAAAATCCAAAACTAGTTGCAATGGCTAAAAATTTAGTTTGACCAATAGGGAATCCGTAAAACATGCTTGAACAAAATAGTCAAACAAAGGAAGGAAGATAAAAATTAGATATGGTGAGGGTATAGAGAAAACCCCAGATGTGCAAGATATAGTCAGTGAACTGAAATAGATAACATTAGGAAAGGATGAGATACTTGAAAATTCATTAAATAAAAATTAATGAAACGGTTCTCAGCAATCGCATAATGGTGTGGTTGTGTTATTAAACTAAAGAAACTACAATCAGTAGGATCAAATAAATAAATGAATACACTTTGTTAGTGGAAACCTATTTTTTTAAAGTATTACTCATTGTCTAATGTTAGCAAATATAACAATAAAGTAACAATATTATTTGAAGATTTCAAATTTACATATTGATCAATCCATGAATGGTGAATATGGTGATACAGCGAATTAAAGATAATAAATAGTAATGCGCATTTAAAGTGCTAAATTAGAGGGGTCAGGACTCATGACATAACGACTCATAATAGATTATTCTTATACAGTGGAGTAAAAAAATGCATTTTAAGTATTTAAAATGCAAACAGGATAGGTGGGCTGGCACCATTTTCTCAAAAATGGACTTACTTTATTCTGTTACATGTACAGATCAGGTTTAATCGAACAAATTTTAGTTTTGCCCGCTCTATAATAATACAAATTTCACTCATTCAAACTTAATCGAGCTGTCCAGAAATAAAATACAAATAAAAAAGAAATGCATGCCGACCGGCCTGTGTAGGGGGCAGGAAACTGTGCTTGTATCAGAAAGGTCCTGGATTCGAATCCCGGGCAAGGCATGGATGTTTCTTTCTCTCTCTGTGTGTTCTATGTCCTTTCTCGTTTGTGTGTGAATGTGACCCACCCTATAAACGGGTTATGGTTGTGTGAATGGCGTGGCAGAAATCGAATTCCTGTCCATAAATGGCGCCACTGAAAAACAGGAACAATCGCACCCCCACTGCCTTAACAGGCATACAAGAAAAAAAAAGAAAAGAAATGCATAATTAAATCTAGCCAATTCTATGTAAAATGGTAATGAAATAAATCTTAACTTGTGTTGGGATTGTTTGGGAGCATGAAACTATTTGTACTTTTTACATAACTTACATGCATATATATTGTGGGATGAGTCCTTTTTTAAAAAATCAATGAAGTTCAAACCTTACAGAGTATATAATATAATCTAATTTTTCATAAGCAATGAGATACTTTCAACTCGAAAAGAAGAAAACCGCTGATTCGCAACCACCAGTAACCTCAGCGCCAGCTGGTTGTTTAGAAACAAGATGGCGTGTTAACGTTACAGGTGTTAGGCTTGTTTTATTGTTGACTGATTTTTGTAAAGAAAATCTACGAGAATTCATTATAGTTGTGAGATTATTGCGTGATTCGAGGATCAATTAAAATATCGCATTTCGAATTCATGTTTGTTGGCATAGGCTTACTCGAAATAGAATAGAAAGAATAGTTGCTAACATGAACAAATGCTTAGTTGCAACAACTAATCAATATCGATACCCACGATGACGTTGCTTGTAGGTATCCAATTAAAGATAATAGTAATTATAATTTAGCATGAAGCAAAAAAAATGTATTTGCATTAATAAATAAAGTCATGAATTAAGTTTCGAATAACTAAAATATATAGAAGAAAAAAAAAACAAAACTCCTTAAAATAACAGTGAAAAATATTGTAAAAATTACTTCATCGAATTTTTTTTCAGCTTCTCTAGCTTTCTCATACAGTTCATCAGGTGAATAAATTTGAAGAACATCGCTTGTAACTGTTTTTTCAAGATCAAAGTTATATGAAGAAAATAGCAGTCCCTCCCGGCAAAGTTTCTTTATCTGGAAATGAAATTTAATTTTTAACAGTATCACATTAATAATTTGTAAAGAAAAATTATATTGATCTACAAGAATTTATTAACTCAGAACAACATATATTTTGACAGTATGTCAGCAGAAGTAAGTTCATATTCTGCACTGGTGATAAAAATTAAACAGACAATATCTTTTTACAATAAAAAAAAACCTCGCAAATCAATAAAAACAGAACCTGGCCAAAATATCATCCGATACATGACCAATATTTAGGAAAACAAAAATGGACACAAACTCTATCATAAATATGGAAACTGGTCTCTTGTCCAGCACAGTAGTTGATCAACAACCTGTCAAAAAAAAACATGTCGAATAGGGTGTATGATTGCCTCTACCTCTAACAGCTGCTGAACTCTGTCATTGGTGTTTCATATTGTTTACCAGGATCCTTAACAATTCATGTGGCAACCGCACCCGCTTTTGCTTCAAGGCACCCTTGAGCTCATGGATGGTCGTTGGAGATTGTCTTTGAGTTGCAATTGAGCGTCCAAAAACGTTCTATACATTTTTGATAGGATTAAAGTCAGGGGATATCGCAGGCTACTTCAATCGTTGAATATCCTTTAATTGGAGATTTTCGTCCACCAACTGAACATTTTAAAATAAGGTTATTATGTAAGAATAGTTTTCTTTTTTGAATATTCAATGCAGCGATATATATTGTCATTTGATAATCCAGTGGCCAATGTTTTCATTTAAAAACAGTATTAAAAAATTAAGGATTTATTTAATTATTTTTTTTTCTGATAAGATTGAGGTTTATATTCACCGACGAACAGGTGTAAAAAAAAAAAAAAAAAAATCAGTAATATTTTTTCAATTTAACTTATTAACTAATGTTTTATTTATTTATTTTTTTTATCGTTTACTTTAAACCTGTAAATGTGTTATATTAAAAAGTGAAGTATGAAAAAATTATTTTTTAAAATATGTAAGCACTTGAATACTGCCTGTAAATAAATAAAATTTAAACTATTTAGATGCAGTTAACTTTTAAAAAGGAGGGGGAAATACCGTAATGAGTCATCCACCCACAGGAATTTTCCCATGAGGGTGCAATCAGGAAAAATATTCATCATAATAATAAATAATTGATTATAAAAGATGATGTTAATATATCTAAGAAATATTTTTCCAAGTGTGCATCAAAATATTGCTTTATTATTATTTTTTTATTATTAAATTTAAGCAATTTAACCTACAATTTTCGACAAAAACTTAATATGTTTAACAATATTTAATTAATATTTAACAGACTATTACAGATTATTTAGTAGCAGGAGGAATACGAAATCAATCCTGAAACTAAAGATAAAATATTATGTACATAAATTTTTTTTTTACTTCAAAGCCACTTTCTTGTACTTCTTTATCGAATTGTTGAGAGTTCATAATTTATTCATCCGTTATTTACAGCGTGTTTTATTGTTTCTGTTTTGTATTTAAGCTCAGTTAGTGTGTTGTAAATTCACTGTTGCTATGATAAACTTTTACTTGTTACCATGGTTACTAAATAAGCTACAGTTACAAGTTTACATTTGTTCTTGCTTTGTAATAGATACCAAATTAATATTCAGAATTAAGGGACTCCATCTAAATTTTTTTCAAAAATTTAATCGATTTTATTTCCTAAATTTAAAAAACCATACTTTAAAGTAAAAATAAGCAAAACAACAAACAAGCTGAGAAACTGCGACATCTCAACTCAACTCTTCTCTACTAAATTAAAAGGATGGATTATGTTCGTGTTGTTAATTTTATGAAAACAGAGATCACTATGAAACTGTTATTAATTTTAGCTATTATATACCCCGTGTTCTCTACGGATTTTTCATACGAAGCTAGGAAATTAGACAATAATATTATTGCTTCTAAATTACGCCCGAAAATGACTACTTCATCTCCAAGAGTGAAGTTATCAGATACCCCTGAATGTGCCGATGATATCCGGCACATATGTCCAGCTAGTATTTTAAACAACAATTTTGCAGTGTTAGATTGTTTACAAAATGATAAGGTACGCTATGATATAGCTAGTATAAAAACTACTATCTTGAAGTTAAGTTCTCTAACGTGTTCGTAAATGCAGGCATATTATGCTTTGAAGTGTCAATCGTTTGACAATGTAAACAATGAAAAATATGACAGTGTACTTAATTTGCACATTGTTTATTGCATATAACATTTTGTCTATAACCCTGTTGTCATTCAGTAATTTATGAGAGCTTTTTTATTGAATGAAGTTAATGTATTTTTATTAAATTGATTTTATTAATTTGATATTAATATTTTTGCGGCATACTTATATCATTTGTATGAGTAAATGTTAAACTTTATTTGAATTTAATAAGAGAGTGCAGTGAGTGAAAGTTGCCATTCTTTAAATCATAATGGGTTCTGAAGAAATATTTATTCATAATTTTAATTTATTGATAAATTTAAATTTTCTTCACGATGGCATTAAGAAAAAGTGAAAACCATGTAGATTAAATTCATTTTTTCTATTACCCTTCTCTAATTGCATAAGTTTGACTATGTCTACTGATGTCAGTTTAGATTTGTGTTCATAAAGTGTTAAAAGTTTAATTCATTATTTTAATTGGCAAATTTCAGTTTTCTTCACAATAGCATTTGGAAAAAGTGAAAACCATTTAGATCAAATTCATTATTATTATTACCTATCTCTAATTGCATAAGTTAGTATATGTCTACTGATGTCAGTTTAAATTTGTGTTCATAAGGTGTTGAAAGTTTCATAAGAAGCTCTTCATGTTCTATTATTTAATGAGTATGAAAATAAAATAATTAATTGTTAAAAAAATAAAATAGATTTCCTTAAAAATTTTTATAAGCAAAATTAAGTTTATTTTTTTTTTCATTTTATACGAAGGATTCTTATTGTTTTAAAACACTAAACATTTAATCTGTGCTTATAAACATTTAATATGAAAAAAATTGGTTTTGTATGTGATTGCATTGTTTTGTTTTTATAAAGCGAAGATTACTTGTCTCATTCCCAGTTGGGTAAATTTACTGCTTACACCGGGAAACCAACCATGTTAATAATGAATGATTAGACATTATTTATGAGATTAATTCTGATATTAGATTTAATTTTGTAAATTTATAATCAATGAGTTAAATTTCGCATTTATTTTTAGTCTATCATAGTTTTATTTTTTCATTGTTCATTAACTACTTGTGTTAAAATTGTGCTGACTTTTCCCCCAAAAACAAATAGATAACAAATGTAATTATTAAAAGTTATAATACAATATATTTTTGTAGTCTACTATTTATGTATTTTTAACAAGAATGTAAGTTTTTTTTTACTATTATGATTGTTTTATTTTTAGCGGAGAGAAGATGCAGATTTATCATCTCAATGTCATCATGTAAGTTTGTTTTTATTCTTTTTTATTTGTAATTTTCATACTTAAAAAAAGAAATTGTATTATGTAATAAACTCTTTGAGTATCAAAACCCATTTTAAAAAAAGATTAAGTTTCTTTGCCAAACATTTGTTCTTTAATATTTTATTCGAGATGTCCAAAAAGTATAGAAATTGTCAAATATCTCAGGAAATAGGCATAGGGAGAAATTCATGCATGAATCATTTTTAAATGATAAACTCATCCCTTGGTATACGGCTGATAACTTTTTAGATTTGAAGTCACAGTATTTTTTATTGCTAATTTGGATTATATCAGGAAAAAAATTTACCAATTTGACCTAAAGATTTAATTCCTGTAGGTTCTTAGATGTTTTAATTCTTCATGAAAAACTTCATAAGTGAATCATTTTTAAAAGATATGTGTTTAATAATGCCACTCATCCCTTGGGATAGGATTGACAACTTCAAAATTTAAAGTCTAAGCATTTTTCAGAAGAAAAAAAAATCCCAATTCAGCCTATAGATTTAATTACTATTGGTTTTCAGATATTATTATTGCAAAATGAAAATGCTGTATTGTTTTGATACTTGCATTAAAAATCATTGCCAAGCTTCGGCCACTTCGGCTAGTAACACTAAAAAAAGTAGTAAGAAAAAAAAAACAATTATCATAAGGCAGTGCTATTAAGTTTAAGTGCTCATATTTAAGGTTGCATTTAGAAATTCGCTGAATTTCTAGCATATTTTCAGTAAATATTCTTTTTAAATTTAAAAATTTAGTAATGTTTTATTTTTAGTAAGTATAGTTTATAATTAATTTCTCCTAGAGATAAGAGTATAGTAGTTAGTTACAAATAGCTGAAAAGTATTTAAATGTTTTAATGGAATTTTGTGTTTATACTTTATTGCAAAAAAAATTTTAAAGAATTTTTTTTTTTTTAAAATACGAAAACAGTGAATTAAATTAATTAAAAGTTCGTTTATGTATGAGTTTTAGTTTTACACCTTTTTTTTTGTATTTATATGTATATTTATTTGTCTTTTTTTTATAGCTGATTTGGACTTTTAAACGGAATCTAACTTTAGATACTAGATTTGTTACTACAGCGAAACATATGTGCAAGAAGTTTATCGAAAGTGTAAGAAATGTTTTTCTAAATTTTATTTTGAAGTATGTAATATTTCCAAATAATATTGTGTTAGATGTTTTTACTTTTGCTTCCCTTTTTTAAATATAATTCTACGAAGTAATTTATTTCTTTTCTATGATAAAGAGACAATTCTTTTGGAAAACCAATTAAGATTCTAGGGAAAATTAGAAATATTGAATTTTAATGACTCTAGTATAATAATATAAGCTTAATAGTTAAATTCTATGTTTACCAGAATGTCTAAATTTTAATTTTAGCAAAAGGAGTGTGTACCGTTGGAGAATGTCAAAGGTCATTTGTTATCTTGTCTAATGAATGCTGCTGAAAATGCTACAGAAGCAGAATGTCGAGCATTTTTAAAGAAGATGGAAGCAATTGTTTTTAGTGATTATCGTTTGATATACAAATTTACAGATGAGTGTCAGTCTGATATTGAAAAATTTCAGTGTGGTCGTCTTGAAATGGATTCTGAGGTAATTGAATCGGTATAATTTACTTACTATTTCATTTTTTTAAAATTGTTTTTTTATGTTTAATGTAGGGTTAATGTTATTTTGGAATTTAGTATATAATTTTAATTATTTTATTTTGCAATTCTCTTAATCGCAATTTGAATTTTCTTAATAATATGCATCAGACTCTTCCCCATATCCATAATATTCACCTTTTTTTAAATTTTGCAATTTTTTTTTAAAGTTGCAAATCATTTTTTAATGAGGATTTTGAAAAAGCTTAAAAGTTTAAATAATATGCATCAGTTTTTGAAAAGTTTAAATAATGCGCTTTTTAAAATACATAAACTAAGCAAATGAAATTTTAATCCATAGATTGATAAAGGATTGAGTATGATTTTGTCAAGGGAGATTAGTAGATAATCATTTATTTATTAAGTTTTGTAAAATAAAGTTATTTGTTTTATAATTAAATTGAGGTTTCTATGGTTAGTGTTTTTTCCAAGTTTTGTATATATGTATTAATATTTATATGCAATATTTAAATTTTATTTATTAACTTTGTCACTATCATTCCATGGTTCCAAGATAATTTAAACCATAGGTGTTGCAAGAGTCCAATTTTTGAGGGGATGAAATTAAAATGCACAGTCACAAAGCGCTCTAAATTTCATGCACAAGAAAAAAACTTCCAATGTCTGTTAAAGTAGCTTGTGTGCTAAAAGATTCATTATTTTTCTTTTTCTCGTTTTTTAACTTGAGGAGTTTGTTGCACAAAAGCCTTATTAAAGCCTATTATTTTCATTTTCCTAAATAGCTCTTATAAGGCTCTGAAATATGGACATTGTGTCAAGTTCATTTGAGTCCTATCTGGGGGAATTTGATTGGAAAATTTTATGTATTCTAGGAAGGGTAAAGAAAATGAATCTGAGATGAGACTACAATGCAGAAATTTGTAAATACTAATTAGGGGGTAATTCACAATCACTCTGTTTCTGGGGTAAATAATAATCACCTAAGTTTTATTTAAAAAAAATTATTTTTTTTAAAATTTGAGGCGTGGACAAGAATGCTTGTGCACTTTACTAAAGTATAACTACATTAACTTAATAATAATTTTTTGTTTAATCTAACAAAATAAGTGTCTTTTAAACGTCTTTCTGTATTTTCCATTTCTAAGATGGGTTTCAAAATGTGCACATTTCTGCAAAGATCCCCCTCCTTCTCTTAATAATAAATATTTTGAGTTACTTTCTTTTTCTTTGATATAAAAGTAGTGTAAGCTTTTGTTTAATTGTTTCACATCTACTGTAAACATCCTTGTTTAACATCCTCCTAATTGTTTCACATCCTCCTCTTCAGTTATTGATTATAGGAAACTATATCAAATGTTGCCCCCTACAGATGGGCTAATTATTGATCACTGGGGTAATTCCTGATCATTGTCATTTCTTTTTATAAATAGTATATAAAATAGCTTATAAATAGCTAATTGTCTTTTCTTAAATAGCAGTTCATATTTATTAAGTGGAACAACTGTAAAATATATTTTAACTGTCATCACAAAATTTGTTTTTAACTGTATGCAAGACTGTATTCTGATTTGCACCATTTCTGGTTTGTCTTACCTTGCTTCTATCTTAATTTTATGCATGTACTTCGTTAGAATAATTTTTACGTTTATAAATTAGCCTAGTATAAATATGGTGAAAATAGGTTTTTCATAAAAAAGATTTTTGCGTTTGATCAGGAATTACCCTAGGTTACCCTACTCAGACATTATAAAATTTATCAAAATCAATTTATTAAATCGGGCTGCGCATTTTCAGAATGGATGGTTTAAACCCTGTAAAAAGTGTTTTTGCAAAGCCACTGAGATATTAAAGAAGACATTTGATGGATGCATGCAGTTGATAAAGATTTTGAGATCTTAAAGTTTAAGAACTGGGGGACCATTCTCAGCTAGAGGGCTGTTTGGAAATCCCTTTAAAAGAGAGCCTTAGTCAGTCTTTGAGGAGGATTTGAATCAAATAATTTTTTGTCACGTGATATAACTAATCAATATCTATGTATATTTAATTCCATCTGTTTTACCTTCCCCTTTGATCTCAAGATAAAACGTTATAAATATTTGTGAATTCTTAAATTCATGCAACTTTTTTCCTTGCTAGGATCCTCATTCTCAAGGAGAGACAATAGAATGTTTATCTAAACAGTCAGATAAACTGTCACCTCTCTGTAAGCATGAAATTCTCCGCATAGCTGAACTCCAAGGAGATGACTTCCACTTAGATCGGCCGTTATTCTTTGCATGCCGGGATGATCGAGAAAGGTTCTGTGAAAAAGTGGAAGCTGGAGAAGGAAAAGTGTATCGATGTCTTATGAGACACAAAATGGAAAGAGATATGAGTCAAGAGGTAAAAATTTACACTTCTTTTTTAAATCTATAACTGCTTCAGTTATTTGTAAAAACTTGTATGTAGAAATTGTAACTTGCATAAATGTCTAATGTTTTGAAAAATCATTAAGAGAAAAACGGTTACGGATAGAAATGCAAAGATTGCTGTATTCTACTTAGAGAAACAATTTTTTATTTTTACCAAGTTTTAAAATTGGTAACAAAGTTCTACAAATGGCACTACTATCTGAACAAATAAAAAACAATGTTGCAATACAAAACGTGTGTGCAAATATTTTTGTAGGAATGTTTTAACCTGGAACAAAGAATAGTGCTTAATGCATTTTCCAGTTACTAATGTATCTCCTGGCAAGGTTTGTAAATTAATTTTGAAACGCAGTGTGAATAAAAATATTTCTAGTTTTCTTTGACAAAATACAGCTAAACCACATATTTCGTTCTTTGGGATATCTTAAGTTTTTTTAATTTTTAAATTTTTTTTTTACCAAAGTAAATTGGAGCACTTTGTATATATAACCCCAATCGGTAATAGACTGAAAAGTGTCAGCATTATTGATTATTAAAACTGTTTAATATAATATTTTTTACCTTAAGTTCTATGGTGGAGCCCTTTTCTATTTAGGGTGTCTTTGTTAGGCGAAGTTGAACTACATTTAAAAATTTTTTGTGTTTATTAAACTACTAAATCTAATATCCATTTAAGAAAGGAAATTGTGATATTTTGTCCGGAAAGTCAGAATCAAAAATAGAAATTTAGGATGCAGAGAGAATTGTGCTTCGAAAAAAATCTGGATTTCTGGATTTTTCGGTAAACGCGATCCAAAAGTTTCCGGAAATCCGAGGTCCAAAAGTTTCAAGAAATTATTGATCGCATTTATGTGTTTAAAAAAATTAATATGTTTTTTTTAGAAATATTAGAACTCTAATTTATACTTGGCATCTCTTTAATTTGTAAATATTTTTTCTAAATAATAAATGTGATTAGAGATAAAAGTAAACTTATGCATAATTATTAATTTAAATTATGCTGCATATAATTTATTTAGAATTTCATGTTATGAAAATATCAATGATTTAAATTTATAAAGACGTAAATTTTTTGCAATACGTAATTAATGATTTTATTGGAGAAACTTTCAGGATTTTTGAGTTGAGCTCACAATCACCCCTGAGGATGTGAAGTTATAAGTTATTGAATGTCAGTTTGGGTTGCTTAATTTTACTATAAAAGCTAGGTTCTTAGTAGAAAACATGCATAGAATTTCTTTTTCTATTGAAATTCGATAATAGCATGAATCATATGAAATAAAAAGACAAGATAATTTCTTAATGTATAACTTCAAGCGATCAGCTGAAGATAACTTAATGTTCACTATGCATATTGATAAATAATTAGTAATATAAGTAATTACTAATATTAACTGTAATAATTATTATAATTAGTAATTACTTTGATCAAGATTGGAAACCATGACTGAATGATTAAACATGGATTGTTATGAATTAATTTCTATTTTTAGTTTGAAGTTTTGTTATTCATTATTTAAAATAATTGAACTTGATTATCCAGTGGGAATTTATAAAGTGATAATGGTATCGTTTACGTTAAAACTGATTTTTTTCAAATGTTCTGTCTTAGTTATTTAGTCTAATTATTATATTCTTTATCTTTTGTATAACTCTTTGATTTTTCTTTCAGTGTCGAGAAAAACTGTTTCAAAGAGAAAAACTTGTAGTTCATGACTATAAAATCAGCAGAGGTCTTGCTAAAGCTTGCCGGGAAAATATAAAAATCTATCATTGTAGAGATGACACATCTGATCGGCGAGAAATTCGATTGGCACAAATTTTGTTGTGCTTAGAAAATGCATTGCATAAAGGTAAGTTTTAATATTTTTGAATGAAAGAAATAATAATCATTATATTTTAAAGATTAACTAGTTTACTCGTGCCATTTTTACACTTCATATATTTTTGTTACTATTTCTAAATGTACTGTGTAAGTAATGAATAAATATTAACTTAAAGATTGTAATATGAATGTTAATATTCGTGATATGAATATTAAAAACATAAATAAGCTTTAAAAGAAATGTATTATACATAACTGACTTTTCTCTGGATTCTCACTATTTGGCAAACTCTTAAAAAACTCAAAGTTGCCAGACAAAGTTTATTTCTTTTGATGCTAAAAATTATGAAAAGCTGCAGAATAACGATTATTATAATTGAATGTAAATTATTTTTGAAAATAAACAAATTTTCTATTTAGCTCATAATCTTCTTACAATTCATTAATTGCTTCAATCATTAGTGCAAATGAATTCTTAAGAGGATGTGCAATATCATAGAAGAAGCTTTTCATGAGGAATTCTGTTCCACCGCTGTTGGTATTTTAAAATTTAAAGTTAGGAAAAAAGGGAATTCAGATAAATATAGTAGTTTAGGTAAAGCCATAAAGTTTCAAATCTGAAAATTTTTTGAAGGGATATTTTCAAAATATAAATGAATGATTTATTTATCATGAATGCAAATGAATTATTTACCATGGTATAATCCTTCCATAATTTGTTTAATTTTGATAATTTTTAAGTTTTTTTTTTCAGCATTTGAAATTTTATGGTAACACCAAATCTGCTTTTTCATACTTAAAATTTTTAATTACCTGTGTTCAGGGATGTGATTCTTCCGCGGATCCGCTGATTTCCGCTTTTTTCAGATTTTTCTATATCTTCTGCTCTTTTTTCATAAATTTCCACGCGAAAATTTTTTTATGCAGTAAATGATATTTTGTTGAAAATTTTTTCTTCCGCAGAGCGAAAGTATTGAAGCCCCCAATAAACCTTTCTTCATATGTCAATCTGCTGGCTGGGGTAAAAGTGGTTGACCTTGGTAAAACAATACCGTCATCTACTACACTACTCTCTTATCTTTTCAGGGATGAAAGAGTTTTTAAAATTTCCGACCATGTTCCAAACACTTTTGGGGAGTCGAACGAACGATATAGTCGGACTTGTGACGAACTTCCCCCCTGCAGTAGCCTCCTGAAAAAATGATCTTCAGAAGAAAATGGGTAGAATTTCGGCATGTACGCCGTAGCCTTGACAACCGCGACTTCCGCTATAGATTGGAAAAAAGAAAATAAGTACTAAGCAGTTTCGTTTCGGCCGCTGATATTTGATTTCTTTTTATTGGCTGATTTACAGAATTTTAAATATTAGGAACTGGGCCAGAATCTGCTAAAATTGCGATTCTTATTTAGATGATTTTTATGTAAATCATCGATTTTCGTATTTAACTGATTTAAAAGTTACTTGTTGAGATTCGTTTTTACACGATTTAAAAATCATTACTCGCAATTCCCATTCACACAATTTAAAAATTCAATATCGCGATTTGTATTTAAGCGTTTTTAAAACCCAATATCACGATTTGTATTTAAACGTTTTTAAAACCCAACATCGCAATTCATATTCCCACTAGTTTAAAATCCAATGTCGCGATTCGTATTCATATATATTTTTAAATTTCAATATTGCGATTCATTATCACGCGGTTGTAATATCAAACATCGATTTTCGTATTTATACGCGGTTTAAACATTACTTGTTGCGATAAGTACTCACGGACTCTAAAAATTACGCACCGTGATTCTTATTTACGCAATTTAAAAATTCAATACCGCGATTTGCATTTTCGTGCTTTTAAAATTCAATATCGTGATTCTTCTTCACGTGATTTTAAAATTCAATATCGTGATTCTTATTCACGCTATTTTAAAATCAAACATTGTGGTTCTTATTCACGCGATTTTAAAATCCAACATCGCGATTCTTATTCAAGCGATTTTAAAATCCAACATCGCGATTCTTACTCACCCTATTTTAAAATCCAACATCGCGATTCTTATTCACCCTATTTTAAAATCCAACATCGCGATTTTAAAATCCGATATCGCCTTATTCACGCGATTTTAAAATCCGGCATCGCGATTCTTTTTCATGCGATTTTAAAATCCGGCATCGCGATTCTTTTTCACGTGATTTTAAAATCAAGCATTGCGATTCTTATTCACGCGATTTTGAAATTCAACATCGCGATTCTTAATCTAAGGCCTTTAAAAATTGTGTGAGAAATGAACTTTCTTGTCCTATCAACACTGATGATCAAAAGTCTGCAAAGCGCAATCTACAGATCAGTCATGTTAATAAAAGACCATCGAAAAAACAAAGAACTCATGAGAAAGTCCATAAAGGTCCTTTGACCATTAAAGAAATGTTTTTTAAAATGATGTGATTAGGACTGGGCTATAAATCGATATATCGCGACATATCGATTTAACGCCTATATCGGCAAACCGATACAGCAACTTTCATTCCAAGCGATACATCAGAAATGTGATTTAAGCCGTCGAGTGAAGAAGACGATATAACGATATAGCGATACACGCAAGGACTTTCTCTTACGTTCCGATGCCAACTCGCGCTGTGGAAGACGATATTGTTTCGTTATGTTGAGACGGCCTTGACTGATGAGCGGTAGAATCAGAATCACTTTTGAGACCTTATATCGTTATATCACATGTTCGTTTTCGCATTTTTGG